TGTTGAATTATCTTAAACTAATAAATGTTTTTAATTATTTACCTTGGTTCCAACTATGTTGATTCTTGACCAAAACTGATCCTTTTGGTCTAAAGGGTCCATTTTCAGAGAATGCACCAACTCCTACAGATGAACATCCAGGTCCTGCATTTAAAAACCAAAACCCATTTTCACATTTTGATTTGTTTTCAACATTTGGGCATTTGAGTGAGAAGATTCGAAAGCAAAACCTCCATTGAGCCAGAGAACGAGAGGTTTAGAGGTTAGATCGGTTTCTGCTTCGGCGAAGTAGTAAAACAGAGCTCTCTGTTTGGTTTGGTCGACGGTGACATAACCAGAGTACTGTTGGAATCCGACCCGGGGTTGACCGGGTAAACGGGTGACCCGGTCGGAGTGGGACAGAGGAGTGGAGCTCAGTGATGTTACGAAGAGGGTTAGGGTAAAGGAGATTGATAGCCATTGGAGAAGAGGAGACATTGGAAGAAAGGTCACTTCTTTTTTTGTTTTTTTTTGGTGTTTGGTTTTGTGAGAAGAAAAGGAAAGAAGACGAGACAAAGTGATGACTTTGGTTCTTTTTTTCCCACTTGCTGCTTTGCATTTATATCAAGATTTCACCTTTTTCTTATGCATTTTTTTTTCTTTTTTGATTTCTTTTATAAAAATTTAAGGTAATTTTTAGTGACCCAAAATACTTGAAAATATATTGACTGTATTTTTTTTTTGTCGGCATATATTGACTGTACTACACTTGGGTTTAAATCCATGTGTACAAAAAAGTAATTATATAAAATTTGTGAAAAAAAAGTAATTACAATAACTAGCATTACTATCCTATATTTAACCATCGAAATATTTTTTTCTTTTTTAAAAATATCACTTTTAGTATATTATTGTTTGTTAATATCTTTAATTATGATTTCTCACGTGGTTATTTTCAATTTTTATGCAAAATTTATTTCTCGACAAAAGGTAATTTTATTAGTCTGAAAAAGATTGGATCTAGTACAAGTACAGAAAAGTATATAACCAACTTTTTTTTTTTTGAGAAAAGAGTATATAACTGTTGTGGTGGATACATTTTGGAAAAATAAAATATAGAATTAGAAGATCATTCTTTAGCTTGACTATGCGGCTGGTTGATTGTTTGATCTCTTAATATAATGGAAGAGACATTTTACGAATTTTGAACTTCAATGCAGAATTTCGGTTTCGGAATCAGAATTAGAATCAAAAGCTCACAAAACTTTATCGAGTGACTGATTACTGCTTTAGAATCATAATTGGAATCGAAAGCGCGGGGAAGCACAATTTCAAAAAAATCAAATTTAGAAGCAGTTTGGAAGTTTCGATTTCAACTTGGAAGTTTTTTTTTATTATTTGGAAAGTGTAAATGAGTAAACAATTAAAAAAAACTATGATAAAATATAAGCGTAAATAAACAAAGGCGAAGCGTATTTATACACACTAACCTTCATCTTTTATTTGGAAGAAATTCTTCTAACAAAGAAGATCTTAATAAAATGTGGGATGTTGGAAGTGACCAATTTTACTCATTTCATTGGATGATATTAACCTTGGAAGCTTAGAGTTTGATAGTCTTTCTCTTGATGAACCAGAGTTGGAAGCGGTATTGTTTGATGAAACTGATGAAAATGGAGATGAAAACAATTATCTAAATA